TTCCTTGACGCTGACATCCCATCTAACCTTGAAGCACTTAAAACGCGCATTGAAAGCTCTCTCGCTATTTCACTCAAATGGTTCACACAAAATCGGCTTAAAATCAACCCGACTAAGACAGAGATGACCATTTTAAGATCTTCCCGTCAGACAGTCCGTTCGGACTTTGCCGTTCACTTCGGCGGCGATGAAATTCCTCCCAAAGATAGTGTCAAAGTCCTGGGTGTCGTCATTGACCAACACTTGTCTTGGAGCTGTCACATTAGCTCAGTCGTCCAACGGTGCTACTGCGTGCTAGTGAGTCTTGCGCGTAATAGGCACAAACTACCAAAATGTGTCAGGCAACTTCTGATAGAGTGTCTCGTTTTCCCCCACATTCGTTATTGTTTAACAGTGTGGGGAGGGTGTAATGCAACCCAAAGGCAGCGCCTGCGAAAGGCCATCAACTTCGGTGTCCGCATTGTGACCGGCCTCGGCAGACGTGAACACGTCACGCCATCGCTGCGCGATCTAGGGTGGCTGAGTATCGAGGAGATGATAGCTGAACGTGATATTGCCACCATGCGCCGTCTCATCACCTGCCCCGACGCTCCTGAAATGCTGCGCCGCCGAGTGTTGGCGCGGTCCGATGTGTCCTCTCGCCGCACACGCGCCAGTGAGAGCGGGCAGGCTGAACTACCCCGAGTACGGACTGAGTTTGCCAAGCGCAGTTTCCTCTACCGTGCGGTGAAGGCTCTGAATGCTACGATGTAGCTGGAGCTCACCTAGATTGGGTGCGATTTTATAGCAACGGCCGTTTTTTACTGTCTCATTTATCGCCTTTTATCACACGAAGTGTATTGTATTGATGTGTTTTAACCATCACTTTTGTACTGACGTAGACGCTATATAATCCATGTCATGGAAGGTCTTAATACATTATCTATCTATCTTAGTGCCGATCTTCGTGCGGCCAATGACGAGGCGTGTCGCTGCGTACCGCACTGTGTGCGTGAGATCAGCGCGTGCACGCTGAAATTGCGTCCAGGTATAATGACGGGTCTCCCTCGGCTGGGTCTTCTCACTGGTTCCAGTAGATGATAGCGTCATGGCAGATGTGAGATAACTCGGCTCGACATATCACTAGAACGGGAGGACGGTTTTCTTTTGGCTTTCACGTATAACTATCGGCGTTAAGGCCAGGAACCAAAATTACAAGCAAGGCGTATGGTTTCAGAGATGTGAAGATATACCGCAGGTATTCCAGAAATGCTTACCCAAATGCAGGTTATTGATATACCAGGAGGTAACTACTGCTTCTCAGAAAAAGTTAAATATTGAGCAATGAGCTCGCTGGTCACACATTTCAGCGCTATACCTGATATCATTTAAACAGTCGGTGCTAGAGGCTACATTGCATGATAACTCAACTCGAGAGCAGAGTCTCGAGAAGAGTCCGTATCCCGCAACTATAGCTTAGTCGATGCCCAAACTCGATGCGTTTAAATGCAGCGTTCGTCTCCAAACTTTGTCGTCTATCCCGAATATCTCATTCGGACGGAGTGAAGACCAGAACAACCAGTCTGAGATGCATGTAGAGCAGGGGTCGGCAAATGGTGGGGCATGCCCCCTTTGGGGGTAATGGAGCCCTTTCGGTGGGGGTAATGAGGGATTCTGAGAAAGCCTATCTTTTTAGAGTTTGTAGCTCCAGTGATGGAGCCATCGTGACTGTTGCATCCCAGGGTTCAAAGATTAGCCCAGGCCAAAGGCACAGCACACATTGATTAGATACCAATTTTCACGTACCTGCTCGCCTCACCATCTCACCCCTCCGTACAGTCGTTCAAAAGCAGCTGCAACTTTTAACCGTCGCCCGTCTGTTGGCGTTTCAACAGCCGCTAACGTAAGGGGGAGGAGTCGATCGGACCCCCGCGGCCTCTCGGACTCTGATATGGAGCTGTGCATAAAAAAGACGAGCGTGCTACCCGTGACCATAGGAAGCCGCTGCTGCCCATTTTTAAGGTCTTTGGTCATTCCGTCTCATTCAAGAGGGCAATGATAAGTGTCGAGAAAATCGGGACCCGCTATAACTTCTTGAAGTGAGATTTTATGGCTCAAGATGATCTCCAGAAAAAGCTCATAAGCCAACGGTCATTATGGGTCCAGAGGCCAGTTTTACCAACAGAAAAATAGCCGCCTGCCGGAATTTTTGCCTAAAGATCGTTTCACATATGGAACGTAAACGGTAAAGCCCTATCCGCTTACGAGCCCATCGCGTTTACGCTCCGTATGTGAAGCGGTCTTGAGGCAAAAATTCCGGCAGCCGGTTATTTTTCTGTTGGTAAAACTGGTCTCAGGTCATTATATTTTCCGGGCTGGCGAAAAAAAAAAAAATGATGGGCTCGAGGGTACAATTTGGTCGTGATCCAATGCCTTTTACGTTAGCTTTTAACGAAAAACCACCCGCCGCCCCTATACGTACAAGGGTTAATGGGATATAGCATAGGCGGCGGAACGGGGAGGGCACCGGGGCACCGTGCACCCTTTGATTTTTGCATTTTAACATTAGCCCTATGGGCGTTGCATGGAAAGAATGGGACCAAAAGTCGGCAGTGCTCCCCCTCCCCCTTAATTGAAGGTGTTCCGCCGCTACTGGGATATAGGCATTAAATGTTTTATGGAGGAAGTGTTGTTTTAAATTTGATGCATTGGAAATGCACAAACACCCAAAGAGTTCCAGGACGGTATGGAATTTCAGTAAACTTAGTTGTGTCAGCAATGGGGTCTGGTAGGTGGGGGTAATGGCCCTGCCTGGCGCCCAAAAAGGGGGCACGACCCCGAATGACCTGCCGACCACTGATGTAGAGGGTGCCGACTTCCGTAACAAGTCCAAAGAAGATTGGCCTTCCACAATAAGGCCATGTTAAATGACGTGACTCGGGAGGTAAGAGTCTTGGTGATGAGGTATGAAGGATATGGGAGGGTCAGGGGACATAAGTATTGTTGCTGTAAGCTGGCATGATATTGATACAATTATTTTGAGCCTTTGCCTGATGATTGGTTAAATTGAAATCCGTCTGAAAGTTAAGTTTTATTATTCGTCGCAGTGCGGTGGGAAAGGACAGACTGTTGAGTGTTCATTGTCCACAAAACACTTGCTTCATAAGGGACCGAACAGCGACGGGTTGTCAGTCCCCTAGCTTAGCCGTAAGAATGCACTTGCAGCAAACCGCTTGAGATAACTATGGCAAGGTGTGTAAGATAGGTATAAGACAAACAATGTAGACGGCCATTGGATACGTGTATGAGCTCATATCGGGTAAGACCAAATGTATAGCTCGGCTGTCATTGGTGGCTGCAAAAAGACGGATAGCTATGACACAGGGCACTTCCCGGTTGGTATAGGTAAGCATCAGAAGTATCAGCAAACGGTATGTTACCATCACCACCGCGCCGCGGCGCGGCCCGCAATGCACACTGACGTGACCGAGCCTCTGTTATATTACACGCGCTGTTTCCCATTATCAGTCGGGTTTCCGCACCTCTGCAGACCAAGACAGGGCTCGGTCAATAACGTCTATTAAAATTACTTCGAAATTAATACGCCACAAATCATAGAGCATGACGTCATTATATAAAACTTCAGCTAACTGCTCATAGTTGTTCCAAAAGTTCGGCCTTTTGCGAGTTGAACATTGTTGAGCGCGACGCAAACTATGCATGTTAGCTTTCTTTTGCTGAGTCTTTTTTCTACAGGACCCGTTTAGACCATGCACGTTGCTATCTTTAGGTCAATCCCGTGAAGGTGTGAACATCATCAGCTTCAGTCACTCACCAGTCACCGTTAGCTGATGATCGCCCCCCCCCCCCCACCCGTTTCTCTCACCTGACCTTCCCTCTCGCATTCTGACGAACGGAGCGAGAGACACGGGCGACCGAGTGCACTGAGGCGAAACAGAAAACAGTTGAGAGAAGGAATGCACTGCTGAGATGGGGCCGGGTAGGTGGGTGGAAAAGGCTGTGAGCTGCTATCACCTCCGTCACAAACACAGCCATCCCGACCTGGCCGGCTCACTCGCGCTGCCTGAAGTGAGCCCGACACCCCAGCGCGTGGCCGCCCGCCGATGACGTCATGGCCCCTCCGGCGGTCAGGTCAGGTCACTGCCCCGCGCCGGCACTGACCAGCGCGCTCCCGGACCCGACCCCGGGTGATATGAGCAAGTGTGTGGTGCTACTTAACTAACATTTCTTACGGGACATCGGATGACAGGAGACAGCTAGGGAAGACATTGGGCAGACTAGACGGATGAGTGAGTCGCAGTGACTGAGCTCGTCAGTCGTCCCTTGGGACGGGCATGTTCCGGTGGGGCAGACCACTCAGCCACTGAAACGGTCACTCCTGAGGAGCATGTCCTGTGGTTCCAGCTTGGAAGCCGTCGTCCCGAAACAGGAAGGTGTCATCAAGGATGATGGTGAGTTCGTCCTAAGGATAAAAAGGACGAATTTACTCTGGCCAGTACCTATAGTCGCGCTCGACTTATGTAGAACATGACGAGACGTCTAGTAGTGCACGTAACCGGAATGAAGCGTATTAAAACTCCCTTTTCCAGTCTAACGACTCTACGAGCCCCCGACTAGCGCCCATCCAACACCTCTGACGTCGACGGTCCATTTGCCTCAGAGCGGTCGCTGCTGCTTCGTTGGGTACGCGGGGAGCATCCGGCGGTCGGTTAGGTGACCCAGATCCAACTGAACGTTTCGCAGCCAAGTCATAGCATCTGAGGGGTTGCAAAAAGGAAGGGAGCACCAAGAGTCGCAGCGGATGCGCCGAATGGTCTCAATGCGCTTGTAACGCATGCAGCGCACATGCATGCAGCATCGCAACAAACCGTTCTGTTTGCCGTCCTATAGGCAGCCGGAGCCGGTGAGTCTTCACTCAATATACCCTGAGTCTGACCCGCGCCGTCGCCCGTACCTCGTCCTCTGGTCCTGGGCGGTCACCGTCTGGCCGAGGTACTCACCGATCAGCGCCGCCACCAGGAGCAGAAGCACGACCGCGGTACTCGAGCCACCGCGCCGCTGCATGTCGCTGCCGCCTTGCCGACCGCCGCCGCCGCTCTCCGCCCCACTCCCAGCCCGGCGAGCCGCCGCCGCTCGTCGTAGTTCGGCAGCCTCCCGCCAGGCGGCAGCACCTGACGCCACTCCCAACCATTGATCGACGGGAGAGGGCAGAGCGGGGACCAGCAGCCGGCGGCGACAGCTGGCAGGCAGAGCAGAGGCAGCGCACACGGGAGGGTACTTTGTGGGCTGGGACCTCCCTCTTCCTCGATTCTTATGTTAGCAGTAATTTACACGATATCTTCCTAAGATCGGGCATAGACATCGCCATCGGAACCCGATTTTGTTGCCACTTTTTGCCTTTATCCAGTTTATCGAAGCGTGCATAGCCATTGAAATTCGAAATAGGTAACTGTCATTCCAACTAGCAATAAACCTAAGCATAAAGTAAGCAATTGCAGAACCAATGATGACCCTTTTATGTCTTGAGAAATTTCGCAAGTTTTCGCAAAATTTCCGCTAGAAAAGGTGGCAGCACTGAATCAGCTGATTCACCAATGGCACCGCGGCATAAACAAAATTTAGGAGTTGGGGTGATGGCGTGCGTGGGAATAGATAAGGGAAATTAATGTATCATTGTGTGCTGATGTCCTCCAAAGTGTCATGTCATGAACTTCAATAATGGGTCTATTCCATATAATGAAGGATCTGGAGACGAACATTCGATGTGCGAGCTTGATTCTAGGAATGTGTCCAGCGAGGATGAGATCAATCTCAACAATCATCCGGAGCCGCAAGCATCGACGTCTGAATCTAGAAATCAAGAAGACGATGAATATATTTTTGATGTTCTTTCTGCCGATGAATTAGTAGAATTCATGCTTGCGGAGATCAATCAAGTGAACGAGATCATGAAGGTAAGGCCTTGGCTGGCTGGAGATTGTGTCTCCCTTGATTGCCGATAGATCTGCAATTGCTTATATTCGTTAGATTGACGAACTAATTTTAAATTTATTGCGTTTGAAGTGAAGCAGTGGTACGTATTTGCATATTGGATTCGCTAAAATTGTTGACAAAAAACAGGTCTCGGGATCGCTTTGGTATGCATGACTTTTGTCAGCTGACTTGAAAGTTGAAACGCGATCAGATGACGTCACTGGGGTGGCGAATGCTAAAGCCTTTCCAGCACTTTATGCGATCTAAGCATTCGTCATTTAAATCAAAATTCCATTACAAATGGCGAAGTAATGTCTAGCAATCGGTAAAGCATGCATTTTTTTCTAACTACATTTCCATCGCTGCTTGAAACGTTCCGCCCATTTTCTGCGTTTTGGTCAAAGGGGAACGGTCGGCTCCCTTCCCCATCTATGTATGTACAGGTCTCGCGAGATTAAGCGGTAGGTTTTGCACTTTTACATTTCCGGTTATATCTCAGAAACTAATCGATCTACGATGAAGCCATTTTACACGATCATGGCCGGCTTGTTACCCAACAAGTCGATCGCATCTTCAACACTTAAAAGCTTAAGACGACGAAGATATAGCCTGAAGTACACTAAATTTTCTAGGTGCAAAACCTACTGCTAAAACCCGCGAGACCTGTACATACACCAAATATCTAACGCGCTCCCACCGTATCCCTCGTAACTACTGACTGTATCCCGTTGATCTACCGACTACCGTCTACCACCGCACCCGCTGACTTTTTTTTTTTGCTCGGCCAGCCTAGCGCCAGTCTCGAGCGGTGGGACAGTTAACCCGGCAATTTTGGCCGGGATGCAAAAGTTACGTTAAACCGGTTTATATTAACCCGGGAGCAAATAACAACGTGGGAGCCTATCGCATCCAGTAACCACCCCGTCCATTGTTCAGTGACCACTGACCAGTGGCTACGGCCGCATTCGCTGTGGGCTGTGGCTGTACTCGCATACCCTGATTCAATTCATTCATACCCTGATTCAAATCCAACCTGATGGATTCGATACCTACCTATGTATACCAGGTGACCGGCCGGCGGCGGCCGTGTGACCCCGTCCGGCATGAATTCTCATACCGTCCGCAATGTGTTTCCCCAACCAAAACGTTCTCCTTTTTTCCATACCAATGTAACCTACGTTGCCACGATGTATAGTTAAGTGACGTGACCCAGAGCAGCAGGTGGCACAGAAAATACATACTGGGGTCGTGCATGCATGCATGTATGTATAGGAGGTCGCGGGGCGCCTGGACCGCAGCCCGGGCCACTATTTCACGTCCACCCGGCGGCGGCTTCAGGGTGCAGTTGATGGCCCCGAAAGTGCAATATGTATGCCGCCCGCTCAGCGGGTGGATTAAAGTGCCATGGGCTGGAACGGCACGGCATTGCGCTTGGTGTGTTAACCACGCCGTCCTCGCTGAGGTATATTTCCCAGTCGGAACCACAGTGAAGCCGTACATATGTTCACTGCACAACCAGTGTCATATTTATCTCGTACAGACGAGCGTGGTTGGAATATCATATTCTTGAGCCCTTGCACGTGGATGAGGCATTGTCTGTGTGGTGTGGCTCTTTATCACGCTATTTTAGCGCAACACTACCACGGCGCATAATATATCGTTTGGTTGATAGTAATATTCGTTCGTAAATGAAAAAAATGCAAAATGAAAAAATGACAAAACGAAAAAACGGAACGTGAAATAGGCCCACTATTCTTAAGCCTAACAATATATCTTATGTTGCAACATTTTGTTTGAGTTTTTATACTGAAGTGCTCTATTTTTCAGCTGCCAACAACGATGGTACGAATCCTCTTGAATCATTTCAACTGGGACAAGGCCAAGCTTTTGGAAAGATTTTATGATACGGACCAAGAACAGCTCTTCAGGGAAGCTCATGTAGTCAGTCCCTTCATAACAAACAAGGTCTGCTTCGATACGTAAGGTATATTTATTTTGGGTAATTTTAACCGTCCTTCCGTATGCTAGTTAAGCTATGTAAATAAACATCAAGGAATGCTTGAAATAATTTATTTAGCCTTAAGAAGCAGTAAATGCGATACTAAATCGCAAACAGCAAACGTACACATGTGAGCATGTTCAATTTGTCCATGCCTCGTGTGCAATGTTGACGCCGACAGATAATTAGGAACAAGGCACTTCGCTTTTCCGGATGCCATGTTTGTGTACGTTGACATGTCGCTATTCATCTTATGCAAGTGCTCAATTATATACTCATGTACGAGCACATTACTTGCTCTGTCGGCTGCTGATGGGAGCTCGTTTCAGGCGACCGGTCAACCCCAGTTGGGCGGTGTTGAACAGTGTGAGATTTGCCTCACCGAGCAGCCCTCTTCGGTGAGTTGCAGGGCGAACTTACGAGCGGTCCCCACTGGTGAGTCAGTCGCAGTCCAGTTCTTCAGAATCATCTGTCAGAGTCAGAGCTTCCATTTTACCACCGGCTAATATGAAAATCGCTTGCATTCTGTAAGATTTTTATTTACCGTTGCGGGGTAAAGTAAGGAGAGGCTGAGCCCAACTGATGAAAATGAGAAGTCGTATGTCAGCATGTGGACATCTTAGCTGGTAGAATGTAAGCGAGAACCTTCAAACGATGAGCAGTTCATCTAGCCCATGCCGTCCTGACTCCCTCCGCAGGCTATGTCCGGCCTGGCGTGTGGTCACCGGTTCTGCTCGGACTGCTGGTCCGGCTACCTCACCACCCGGGTGATGGAGGACGGCGTCGGCTGCACCATCTCCTGCGCCGCTCACGGCTGTGACATCCTGGTCGACGACGAGACGGTGCTGCGACTGGTGACGGAGCCGCGCGTGCTGGCCCGATATCAGCGCCTCATCACCGACACATTCGTACAGGTGGGGACCGGCGCGGGGTGGATTACCCGATGACAGTCCACGCTCATGGCCATTCAGATTTCGAGCCATCGAGTACTTTAAGTATGTACAAATGTATCAAAATATCGATTGAGAACTATCAAATCTGGCGAATTGAACCATGCGTAGAGCGTTTTACTACGAAATTGTTTTAATAAAACGGCTTGTCAAGTAAAAGATAATTCACTCATTTCGTTGCTGAGCCAGTATATCGCTCGCCCCATAGCTGGGATACTTCGCCCACTCGTAGCGCCTGTTGTGCCTTCGTATCCTCTTCCCGGAAACTGAGAGCTCCGTAAGTTGATCGTTTATCGGATTTGTCCGTTCCAAACAGCCGTCTCGCTGCTGAGGTAAACAGACTACGTAGTCTAACTTGCTGCGTTCTCGACGGCGCAACGCTTTTAGAAATTACAAACTAGCAAAAACACGCGTGCTGGAAGAATATAGGGCTAGTGGTGAAGAAGGCCGGAGTCGAACTATTTGTATCGATGATGTGTTACCCAGAATTTGCGGTATGACATCTTGAGCCTATAGCGGTGCGGGATTGCGGGAGCGACCTCTTTCTTTCACTTACTAGTCTACGAAAAAAAATAACGTGATTGCACGTCAGAAGATAGATTTGTGTAACCGCCGTATGCGCTGGTGTCTGCAGAGGCGCAGAGTACCCGCCGTCTGCTCTATATAACTGCCTTCTGTGCTGGTGTCCGCAGTGTAACCGCCGCCGGTTCTGTTCACAGTGTTAGTAGTAGTAGTAGTTTATTAACCTTCGCCCCAGTGGGGGGGGGGGGGGGCATATGTTACCACCCTGTCGCGTTTTTTTGCGTATAAATAAAAAACCGCGGCGCGTAGCGCCGCGCCGCTTGGCATAGCTTTTTGTTCATCAATTTTGGGTAATGTGTGAAATTTTTGACCACAGGTCATGTCAGGTCAGGTCACCAGGTCAAGTTAACTGACCAAGCCTAAAAAAGTTTGCAATCATGTCCAGCCTGCAGTCTTTGTCAGAAAGGTTTTAAACTTGGTGGATTGCATGCTGTTATGGGCGCCTACAATTTGTATATCTCGGATTTTTTTTATATCCGTGACCTAAGGTCAGGTCAGTGGCGTGACCTTTCCATTACAAGTCAATGGAGAAAAATGAAAATGCCTCTAGATCCGTGTGTACGCATCGGAACAGTCCAAATATTTCAGAATCACAATGATTTAGTCCACTCGTGATGACCAAGGTGTCATTTTTGCTGATAGCCTCTAGACAGGTCATCTGAGGTCACTTGAGGCTACAAACAGTTTTTTGCCAATAACTCGCGATTGGAAAGAGATAGAACGCTGGGGATGGTCTCATTGTGTTTGTCTTGTTGAGACGCATCCACTGATATGCAACATGACCTTTGCCGGTAAGGCCATGACCTTGACCTGAGGTCAAATTTTCAAGTTGACCTTTCGAGGTCAAATTATAGTTCATTCGACGCGTCTCGGCAAGGGGAACACGATTCTGAAAATAGAAATGTCGTGGCTTTTTGTAGTCGAAAGTTATTGTCGAAAAACACTTTTCGTAAAAACAGCTATTTTTGGAGTTTTTGCCCTCTGCAGGCTAAACCGTTGACCTGAGGTCAATATTGATAATAACCTTTTCAAAACAAGAGTTCAAAAGCTATCGTTTGCTTTTCCATCCGTTTTTCTAGCTACCATAGTTCCTGAGATAGCGGCATGTTTTCTGAGAAATATAATGACAATTGGCAAAATTTGACCTTTGATGACCTCTGGTGACCCCAATATTGCTCTAAGGTGAAAAATGACCGAAATACTTTCAAACGTACGCATTGAGAGCTATCGACTGCTTTTTACCGCGTCTTTCTAGCCCTCTTAGTTTTTGAGATAGAGGTGGGTGGTAACATATGCCCCCCCCCCCCCTCACTAGGGCGAAGTTGGCTGAGACCGCCACTGGGGCGCGGGTTAAAGAGCCATCCACAAGACAAGTGGCTATTATGGCCTTCACGTCAATAAAATCGGATCATAACATGCAGGGTAAAATATACACTCACGATGTTACACAACCTGAAATATACATATAGCTCAGGATAAAAAAAACACCACCTGCACGGCATCATGATAAAAAACGCGTTCATTACGTGTCTCGTCTCGAGAGTAGGTGGGCCTTCAGGGCTCGCCTGAACCGCGGACCTCGCTGGTTCCGCACCGACATGGGCAGATCGTTCATGAGGTGGGGCGAGCGGTATACAAACCGTCGCCGGCCCGCCTCCGAACGGATGGGTGGCATGTGCAGGAGATCGTCCTGTCTGGTGTGCCGGACATGGCCATGATGGTCCCGGTTGAGGCAGACCTGACGGGCAATGCATTCGGGCTGGCTAGAGGAGAGGACTTTGTCAAGGAGGCAGAGGGATTGGTATTGGAAGAGTTGAGACGAGTCGAGCCACCCCAGCCTGTCTCGCACAGCTGACACGCGGTCAAACTTTCGTTTTCCCGCGATCACGCGAGCCGCAAAGTTGAGCAGCTTCTGGATGGTTGCGAGGTTGCCAGCGCTGCCGCTGCCGTAAACAGAGAGGCAATAGCGGATGTGCGAGACGGCCAGGGCGGTGACTATCTCGGGAAGAGTGTCAGGAGGAAGGAAGTGGCGGAGCTGGGATAGTGTTGCGAGGATACCGCAGCATCTACGCGAGACAGCCCTCACGTGCGCGTCCCATGACAGGTGCTGGTCGAAGACCACACCAAGATTTTTGACCTCAGTGCTGGGCGTCAGGCACGTGTCCTGGTATCTGATTTTGATCGTCGGGAGGTTGCGCAAATTTTGTCTAGAACCAAAAGTGATGAGTTCGAATTTGTTTACGTTAACCTTTAAAGGGACCCTCCCACCTTCAAAAAAGTTTATGAATTGGCATTAAAGTGATGTCGCTCGGTTCAGAAAGAGCGAAAACGAATATCTACCAAATTTCACCGAAAAATACTCAGCGGTTTTCAAGATATTATACTTTTACTTTTGTTTACTTTTTTGGGATCTCCGCTGTTTCTAGCGACTTTATTTTAGAAGTGCGGCGTTTGCGGCAGATGTTGCGCGCAAATAGCATATACCACCGCGTGCTACAAAACGTTTCAGTCAAACATTTAAAAATCGTTAGATATTTGCGCTGACGTCACACATTCAGAGGGGTATTCCTAAGCATTAGCCCCTCTGAATCAAAATGCTGCAATTTTGAAATTCAATATTTCCGATTTAAGGCATTTCTCGATGTTGTGAGTGCCGAAACCGGTAATTGTGAGCCAGGGACCCCATTTTGGCTATCTCAACTCAAATCTAATGTTAAGGTGGGAGGGTCCCTTTAAGCCGTTCGCAAGGAAGTAGTTGCCAAGAGAGGAAAGGGTGCTTTCCATGCGCGATGCAAGCGCTGGAAGAGCAGATTTAGGGCCGGAAACCAAGACCTGGGTGTCGTCGGCGTACTGGATAACCAGTCCATCGGAGACGTACAAGCTCAAGTCGTTGGCAAACGCGCAGAAGAGGACAGGGCCGAGGCTAGAACCTTGAAAAACGCCCTGGTTGATGGGTAGAGGAGGTGAGATTTTGACGCGGCCATCAGAGGAAGTGAGGCTTACACTCTGCGAATGACGGGAGAGATAATTTTGAAACCAGGATGTGTCGACGCCCAGCAGCTGGAGTTTTTCGAGCAATTTAGCATGACTGATAACATCGAAACACTTGCTAAGGTCAATGAGACAAAGAATGGAGAGAAGCCCAGAATCTGTAGCAGCAAGGATGCTGTCGGTGACGCACGTGAGGGCGGTCTCGGTAGAGTGCTGCGGACGGAAGCCATGTTGGGTTGGGGAGAGGAGATGGTTGGAGGAAAGGTAGTAGTAGAGTTGGCGCTGAACTGCCCGCTCCACTATTTTGGCAAGGACTGGGATGATAGAAATAGGACGGTAGTTGGAAGGATCGGCAGGATCACCGGACTTGTGGATGGGATGGACGAGGGAATGCTTCCAGGATTCCGGGAAGATATTGGAGATGAGGGAGAGGTTGACGATATGGAGGAGGACGTGACTGATGGCGTTGAAGGATAGCTTGATGGTTCGAATGCAAAGTCCGTCAGATCCGCGGGACGGGGAGTTGCTCATGGAGCTGATGATGGCATGTAGGGTGCTGAGCGTGATCGGATGTAGCCGGAAGGCGCAGGCTCCCACCCTGGGCAGTCGCGGGGGAAGTGAGGGGGGCGGACCCTGCGCGGCGAGCTCGGCGGCAACGCGTGGGCCGACATGGACAAAAAATTCGTTCATCTGTTCGGCGGAGATGGTAGGTGGTATCGTGCACGCTGTCTTTTTACTGCCCAAGGTGTCAGCCGCGCAGCGCCAGACAGACCCACGTCCCTGCTGAGACACGCGGTGTCCGATATGGCGCCGCTTGTCTGCTCTGAAGGCAGCGCGGGCCACACGGTTCGCCTCCCGGTACCCATCAGACCCGTGACCCCACAGGCGCAGCGCTCGGGCGCGGTCAGCCAGAAGCTGACGCGTGTCGTCCGAGATGGGGGGAGCGGAGGGGTTGCGCAGTTTCACAGTTCGGACAGGGGCGTGACGCTGAACAATGGGGGCGAAAAGACGAATAAAATGAGACCATGCATCAGAAATGTTTGAGGCTACAAAGACGCAGGACCAGTCGATAGCAAGTAAATCCGCATCAAAAGACTGCATGTTGAAGCGTTTAAAAGAACGACATTGCACGACGCGTGGCTTGAGACGAAAACGAGGGACACTGATCAGAACACGAGTAAAAAGGTGAGAGCTAAAATGGCAAAAACGAGTTCCCCTTCGAGCTACGATCTCTCGGTTAGTGATGATGACGTCTATGGCAGAGCCGGATGAGAATGTCGGTTCGTTGATGTGGTGAAACATAAAATATTTCGATACAAAGTCGCTGAGAGCTCGCTTCGAGGGTCCAGCCGCAAGCCAGTCACAGTTTAAATCTCCGGCAAGCACTACGTCACACTCTGGGCAATGAATCAGAGCATGCTGATACTGCTGCTCTAAAAGAGTGAAGTCGGCATCGAGTGCAGCGGCGGTGCGACGAGGCGGGCGGTACAAAGCGGCAATGATTAATCTACGATTTTTATCCCAGGTAAACAGTGACCAGAGCGATTCTAGCTTACAGTTTGGATCGTCAGAGAGAGGGACTTTGATCGGTTTCTGCACATATGAGTCACGGAACAGAATGGCGACACCACCGTGACCGAGTGGCGCATATGAGCGGTCAGAACGTTTCAAAGAGTAACCTGGAAAAGTGAGTAAGCGGTTTGGTACAGATGATTTCAGCCACGTCTCCGATAAAACGACAAAATCATAATCAAATCGGGTAAGCCGCCTGTGCTGTAACCGCCGTCTGCGCTGTAACCACCGTCTGTACTGTCCGCAGTGTAACCTCTGCCTGTGCACACTGCACAGTGTAACCGCCGACTGTGCTGGTGTCCGCAGTGTAACTGTTGTCTGACGCGCTGTACTGCCTGCAGTGTAACCGCCGACTATGCTGTGCTGTCCGCAGTGTAACCGCCGGCTGTGTTGGTGCCCCAGCCCGGATTGCGGCCGCGCGGTGCTGGTAGCCTATCCGGACGCCCGGCCAGTCCTCTGTAGCTGTGGACACCGCTTCTGTTTCGCGTGTGGCGACCTGTGGCACGAGCCTGTGCGGTGTCACCTGCTCAAACGGTGGCGGAAGAAGTGCGACGACGATTCGGAGACGTTCAACTGGCTCTCCGCAAACACCAAGGTATGTGACGTTGTGATATTTAGGAACATAAGAGGCAGCCTTGACCATTAGGGATGGAGATTGTAATCGTTTCTATATCTAGGTGAATGAAACCAACTACACAATCAGTTTTTCATTCAAGAAAATTCACTTGCACCATTCGCACGGCATTTCGCCACGTTTTCCGGCAGGAATGTCCAAAGTGTAAGGTCACCATTGAGAAGGACGGCGGGTGCAACCACATGATCTGCAAGAACCAGAGCTGCCGGGCGGACTTTTGCTGGGTGTGCCTCGGACCCTGGGAGCCGCACGGATCGTCCTGGTGAGTCACGTGCCCGGCTAGCCCCCCTCCCCCCTTACTCTCCCACCGCCGCCACTGCACTCAGCCCGTCGGTGCACCCGAGCCATTACTGTGCGTGCGTTGGTGGTAACGGTCGGACTGCAGCATCGATTCGGTTCTATGAAATCCGGAAAAGTTTCGACGACTTTGACTTCGCCAACTCGACTGCCGTATCCGTGTGGTTTGCTATTCCACTATGCGACCACATCGTAAGTTTCTTTACATCCCTATTCGTACCGGGCGCCCGAATTTCAAACCACCGTTGTTACTCCGGTCACAGCGGCCGGTCGCTCCGCCCTGTGAGGCTGTAAAGTCGTCCTGTTCTGCCGCTAGTTTACCGTCCGTCACATCGATCTTTGGGGCGCATTGGCGGCACATTTCCCGAGTTCGGGACACGGTGATGGACGAGCCCTCAAACTCGTCCCAAGCCGGTCATTGGCCCGCCGAACTTTGGCCACGAGCCCGCGACGGTACCATAATATCAGACTCATGACACTACCCTGGTCTGGGCTTATGTCCTATCCTGACACCTGAAAAGATCTGCGTCAGATATCGATCAGGTACCGCGGCTGTGTTGACAAGGTTTTGTGGGCGTTGAGGTAACCCCACTTTCAGGAGAAACGCACCATATCATGTTTTTGTTATGTGCTAAACTGATTTCAATGAAGGTCTCCGATATCTCATTGTCCGATTTCATGTAAGTACCCTTTAGGATCTTCAGGTACAGAATACAGATGTAACTGTTTTAGGGCATTGGATGTAGCATTGCTTCTTCCAGAGGCGGATCCAGCTCAGAGGTTTGGGGGGGGGGCAAACCATAAAAATTTATCGATTCTTTCCATGCATCGTCCATAGGCGTAATGTTAAAATCATGCCGTTTGGGGGGGGGCAAATGCCCATTTTGCCCCCCCCCCCTGGATCCGCCACTGGCTTCTTCGACTCTGGAGCACTGTGCTTATGTTGCGTCGTCACCCTCAGGTACAGCTGCAACCGGTTCGACGAGGCCGAGGCACGGGCGGCGCGCGACGCCCAGGAGCTGTCGCGCGCCGCCCTCAACCGCTACCTGTTCTACTTCAACCGCTTCATCAACCACAGTCAGTCGCTGCGCTTCGAGAGCCGGCTGTACGCGTCCGTCCAGCAGAAAATGGAGGAGATGCAGCAGCACAACATGAGCTGGATCGAGGTACTAATGCTGGGTCCAGAGAATAGCTGGAAGAAGGATGACTTTGATACACTCTCAGGAATTTATCCACCTACTTAGATTTCTGATGAGATTTTTCTTTGTCACACTGAGAAAACAGTTTCTCCATTTTCGGTCTTAGAGACTTTCGAGCTAATGTCCCCTATTGAAAACAGGCCACACATTTTGAGAATACTTTCTGAGCAACGCCATTGATCGCAGAAACAGATCTCAGTGAGTACCCATTACTCGTGCTCAAGCTTTAAAATTAGTCTCACTATGAAACCAGTTTTCAGCCCGATCCCCGATTTCGGTCTCACTGGAATCCAGTATTCGGGCTAAAAGTACATGAGCCCTAAAAGGAAGCCTTACTGAAACCGTTTTTAAAATCAGATACATTTGAGGCTTATTTAGCACTCAATTGAGTCTTTATTCAGAAATGTTCTCAAAGTATTTTCTGAGTGCATATAGCTGGTTGCTTGCCAGATAGTTGATGTTATTTGTGACATTTACAGGTGCAGTTTCTGAAGAAGGCGGTGGACGTGCTATGCTCCTGTCGACAAACGCTCATGTACACTTACGTCTTCGCCTACTACCTGCAGAAGAACAACCAGTCCACCATCTTTGAGGTGGGTGTCACCCCAGCCTGTCCTAATTGGATGCTGTCTTTTTTCCACTGGCTTATACTCCATGGATATTTGAACAACGAATAATCGTCCGCTCAGGAAAACCACCGGGCTCTGAACAGAAGCGGTATTGATGGCTGACCTCCTTCCCTCATCCCCTCAGGAGAATCAGAAGGACCTGGAGCGTTGCACAGAGCTGCTTTCCGAGTACCTGGAGCGGGACATCACCCAGCAGCTGCTAGCTGACATCAAACAGACTGTCCAGGACAAGTACAGGTGAGAGCTGTCGTCACCCTCCTCCAGCCCCGCTGCGTCCTCGCACAGCCCAGTCCTCCTTCCTTTGATCCGTCACCCCCGTCCCGTCTCAAAAGACTTCTCCTGTGGGCGGCAGGTACTGTGAAAACCGCAGAAAGGTGCTTCTCGGACACGTGTTGGAGGGCTACGAGCGCGACTGGTGGGTATACAGCGAGCAGTGATCGCCGAGATACGAGTCATGGAACGTCTCAGCACCGTTCTGTACCACGCTGAGTCGGCCGGACACCGAGTCTGCTGGCTGCAGTGGTCAAGGCGAGTCGCTCTGGCCCACATTGTGTGCCGAGAGTGGAGTGCAAGCTCTGTCTCGTAATCTGTTGCTCCCTGAGTTCACCAAATACGTGTAAGAAGGGGAGGTGGGTCGCTTGTTGATGGTGAGGTCTGCTCATGGCTCTTTGCATGAGGTTCGTGTTGAAGCTGAAGAGCTTTACCGCCTGAACCGGGCTGAGGTGAATATCTGTGATCTGTCGTACAAACACTGCGATCATAGCTGCATGTTATCGATGACCTATCTAAACGCTCCTGTGGTGTTAACAGTTAACGCATTGTAGGTTGTATTCGGTATTTTTTTTCTATTAGGCATTAGCGTAAATAATGGCTGGCGATAGCGGAACTTTGCTGTGTCAAATTTTCAATTATTTCCCGAACAGCTTTACTTGTTGGCCATAAATTCCATGTCTGGATTATTCAACTACGATAAACAACCTTGGCAATAGTCCAACAGCCTCCATGTCCGAATATTTCCACATCACTGTGGACGAAACTGGGCCGATGTCGAATCCGCTTGAATGTTAAATGGGGACCGTAATTGAATACAACCGTTTATTGCCACAGCCCATCTATTTGTTAAACGAAACCCGACTAAGTTCTATCAGCCGGCTGGCTCAAACCACAAAGCTCTAAATGAAGATAAAGTGGAGGAATTATGTTGCTGTCCCCAGTGTTAAATTAAACCAGAGACAAAACATGGAGCCGTGGGTCGTTGCGAAGATATATTACGACCGCACGGCTCGACTGAGACGCCACGAGCGGACGCTCGGTGAAATTACGGTTTGGAGTATGTAGATGTCGCGACCATCCGGCCAGTCCGCTGCCGTCCCTGTCCCTGTTTTCCGGCGTGCTTCACGGTCCCTCCCCACATACACAGACCAGCCAGTGAACTTAGGAAGATACTTGTGAAGATCGTGAGTCGATACAACCTTCAGAAACTCACTTGTACGAGGAGATGAATACAAATTTGAAGTAACAAACATGTGCACGGCAGTAATGCGTTACAGTAGGTCGAAATGACCCGCTATCTCATTTTAAGAATCGTTTGATCGTTTCGTGGTAAACATACATAATAGAAGTAAATTGATCAATCGAGTTTAGCTTATTGTCCCGCAGCGTTTTCTCCCTTTAGTTGTCGCGAGCGGCCTCGGCTGTCTGTTTATTACGTTTTCATGAGCTGTCTCCGGGCTCCGGGCGCGAACCACAGCCCAGCGACTGCAGGTGCTCGGTGGCCTCTGTTTATCATATGGAGCGGCGGTCCGGCCCGGTGGACCGACCCGGCGATCCAGTGCAAATGAGATCCGCGCAGGCACCGTCCCCGCTGAGTGAGGGGTTGAGCAGAGAGCACAGCTCAGATTTAGTACGAAAGATGAACTGACATTCTCAAAGGAAACGTTAAAAAGTTACGGCGTAGATAAGAATATGTTATCATTACTTCATGTTTGTTATTAACAAACATTTGAATAACAATACACCGTAGGTATGGCTCAAATGACCGACGAAAACCAGATGACAGTCAGCATGGTAACATAATGAGCGGCTTAGATCAGATGCAATGATCGTTTTCGCCGAGCTAGGCATTGATTTTTTTTTCCAAAGTGAAAGCAACTTCCCGCGGAAGGCACCGTCTTCAGCAAGTGAGTGTGAGCCGTATTTGGGCCGGCGATAGTTAACCCGCGACCTGGTGGGGGGGGGGGGGCTATTTTTTGCCCCCCCTCCAGACTTTTCGATATATCTCCAGAACCACTGCGCCGATCGTCACCAAACTTTCAGTACCCTCCCGGACATCAATTTTACACATTGTGACCAAAATTTTTTCCAAAGGCTATGATAGGTTGGCCGGAAATGACGTCAGAGTGACGTCATGTTCTGCCGTTTTCGACCCAAAAAAGGGTTTCGCGGGAAGAGCTGTCAGGCCTATAGCTTTGCAAATACAGAAAAATGATACAGACATAAAAGCTGTAGAATGAACAGGGCTACAAAACTGCTATCTCGGATTTTTGAAATTTTTGGATTTTGACCCCCAAAAATCAAAAAATAGATTTTTTGAATATAATAGCCAAAAAATCCAAAAAGTTTTTTGAATTTCGAAAAACCCGGAATATATGTGATAGTCCTTACCGCCTTCTATCTACATACCAAATTTGAGATCGATACCTCTTTTTTTGGCCAAGGTATAGCGAAAAAACTGTTCAAAATTGATGACGTCAAATTTTCAAACTCAATTTTCAGCAATTCTAGACCTCGTAGCGCAAAACAAAGACCACCATTAGACTCCCCGTGACGAGCTGCATCGAATCAATACCCATTTTATGCAAAAATATCAACTTTGAAATTTGACCTTTTTTGACCTGACCTTGACCTGACCTCCACCAGAAAGTGACCTAAACCGTACCTGATGGTCTTATAACCAACACCATTGAGTTGGAAATGAAAAACTGGCCATAAAACATGCATCGCATAACCTTAGTAAAGTTGGGTTCATGTGGTGACCCTTGGTGACCTTTGGTGACCTGACCTGTGACCTGACCTGGTATGACCAGTGACCTCTAACAGCAACATATCTACTAGGCAACTGACGCCCTATCGCTGATTCCCGACAAAATGCGTTTTTCTCGGTGTTATAGCGCATTCCCTAGAAGACTCGTGAACGGTGAAACATTTCATCTTTGACCTGACCTGTGACGTCATCGGTGACCCCGAGGTCAATAAAATTTGGTTTCCCTCGACAAATTTGACAGGCCTTTCGAACGCCGTTTGAACTTTTCGGATCCGTCCAGTAGTTTCGGAGATACGAGGGGGGGGGGGCAAAAATAGCCCCCCCCACCAGGTCGCGTTATAAACAGACCCCACCAGGGCGCGGGTTAAGGCTGTTTCGCTCAAACCCCAGCTCCTGGGTGGCTCGGTCCGATCAGCGCTGTTACCGGACCTGGCGCGATAGTTTGATGGATGCCGGCGCGCGGCATGGGGTGGTGGGACTGGCTCCACACTGAACCCACCACTGAGTTAGCGTCGCCAACTGGTTCTGTAAACGACCACTGATGCCCCAGCCTGCCGTGTCGGCGGCCGGCGGCTCAGCGTCGCGGTCGACCGAGTTGCAATTCAATTGATTCAATGACATGCAGCTGCCATGCCGCGCCAGAGCTGAGCTGTGTCTGTGAGGCACCGCCGGCTGGGATTGGCAACCAGCCGGTCAGGAAACAGTGGAAAGGGGATTCTCCTCGATCATGTGACTTATCGAAAAAGCCAATCATGCCTAGAAAAAATATTTATAACGCCACATTTTTGAAAGCTGTGTGTAAATGCGACGGGGCTAACAAATCGGAACACTAAATGTTTTTTTTTTTTGTCGAAATTCACCTCCACATCAGTCGCAATACTGCCAGGGTTTCGGTACGTTGGTTTTGTTTGTTTTGTTTTGCTTTGTTTTGTTTTGTTTTGTTTTGTTTTGTTTTGTTGGGTTAGGTCCTTTCGGTCTGACAAGACCATTTCAGAGCCGGAAGGATGATAGGAACTAGGGGGAGACATTGGTCTGGGCAGACACCCTAGAGTGTCGCCGGGGCTGAGCCCGTCCGAATGGACAGGCCGACCAGCCCCCAAGCACTCTCTACACCCGGCTACGGGGTGCGCTCCCACGGGAGCAGCGGTGCCGCTCCAAGGGAGCAGCCCGCATGAGATAAAGGTGCCTGTCCAGCATGGAGTGGGGGTTGCGGCGTGGAGAAGGATTTCAGTATCCTGAGGATAGAAGCACGGAACGGTGGTACGGTGGTCAGTTCCAGCCTCTTTGACCTTTCCGCTCAGCTCAGGTCACTAGGTGTTGCGGTGGCTGAGTTTACGTTTACCGAATTACCGCAGCGCAGAGGCTCACTGCTGCGGCGCGGCGGTGCGCGGCTTACTCAGTTGGCTGACGGTAACACCACCATGGACTGATGCAAGAACGGTGACGATATGATTATTGTTTACCTACCCATGACTAACCTGAACGGATAGCTTTGATGAAGGCTCAGGCCGGTGAAGCACGTGAAACGGCTGGCAGTGTATTTCAACTTCATTCCCTTACAGAGCTTCGGGCTCAGTGCATAAATTTTATCGGGACATCAACTGGTTGTGCACTGACTTGGTGTGTTGACAGTTTCGGTTCCGTCGATACACCCCTTGCAGTTTTTGGTGTCTCACTTTCAATTTCACATGGTACTTGACTTGTACGCCTAGGCCATACCGAGAGAGTTACATTTAGGGACGGACATCCATCTAGGACAAAAATCTCACATCTTTACCGCTAAGACACAGTCACATACCTACGTAACCATCTATGTTGGACAAAGTATGTCCATTCAGTGACCAATGTCTCACATGACGAGTTTCACTGCTCTTCAAGAGCAAAAGAGATCGCTCGACGCCTCGACACTGCCTAGCCGACGTGCTTGGCGTGCTCTTCACTGCGATCCACCATAAACTGTACCCCTCAACTTCCACCACTCTGAGTTGCAACCCGTCGTCACATTTGCGTCACGTCACTAACACCGTCGCTGGACACTTATGCCCCTTCACTGGGCGTTGTTTCATCCCGTCTACGTCTCACTCCGTCACTGTGCCCAGTCCGTCACGCGTGCCATCCCGATCCCTAGTCTCACCCCGTCACTGCGCCCTCACGCCGCCGAGTCCGCCGTCGGCCCGCGGTCTGAACACGGCTCGGTACGGCAGGCAGTTGCGTGTGAGCGCGATCTCGGCGTCCTCGTCGGGCGGCGTCTGTCCGGGCGGCGGCATCACGTCCAGCTGCTGCACCAGCCAGCTCACCATGAGGAAGGTGTACAGCTCGGCCAGTCGGCGGCCCGTGCACCGGCGCGCGCCCACGCCGTACGGCGCCAGGTGGTCGCTGGGCACAAACTGACCGTCCCGCAGGAAGCGCTGCGAGCGGAACAGCTCCGGCTGCGGCCACAGCCGGCCGTCCAAGTGGGTGGACTGGATGCCGTACCGCAGCACGGCGTCCTCAGGCACCGAGAACCCCTCGATGGTGAGCGGCGCCGTGGCCCGGTGCGGCACGCTGGCCGGCGTCAGAGACGAGCGCCGCATCACCTCTGACAGGAAGGCGCGCGTGCGCGGCAGCCGGACCATGTCGGCGCCGCGTGCCAAGAAGCCCAGCGTGTCGAGCTCGGCGCGCACGGCTCCCAGCTCGGCCGGCTCCCGCAGCAGATACAGCAGCGACCACTCGCCGAAGGAGCTCGTCGTCTCGCAGCCGGCGTTCAGGAAGTCGAACAGGAACATGACCAGGTCCTGGTCGTCTGCCGGCCGCCAGCCGGGGCCGCGCTGAGCGCGCAGTCGCGCCACCAGCGTGCCGTCCCGGTAGCGCGAGTCGCTGACGGTGGCGGCGAACGTGGCTCGCAGCTCGTCTCTGAAGCGGAGCACGTCTGCGTACCCGCTGCGCTCGGGGGCGAGCCGGCGGAGCAGCGGGCTGTCCACCCAGCCGTTCTGCAGGCCGGCCAGCTCGGCGGCTAGCAGGGCGGTCAGCCGCTGTGCCTGCTGCTCGGGCAGCCGACACCCGGTGACGATCCGCCAGCTGAGCGCCACGTACGGCTGTCGGAACAGCGACTGGACGGGCACCGCGCTGCCCGTACCCAGCCGCAGCCGGTCGCACAGCCGCGTCAGCTCCTCGCAGATGAACCGCTCCGCCTCGCCGGAGCTGATCATCTCCTCCAGGGTGGCGTAGAGGAAGGCCGAGTTGGTCCTCCAGCGGTCTCCCTCGGCCACGATCACTCCGCGCGGCCGGCCGAACGACAGGGCCATCTGAGCGGAGCCCGCGGCGCGTCCGTGCGCCGCCGGCTCGGCCATGGCGCGCCGCGCCGCCGCCAGACCCTCCACGTACACGTGGTACGTGGCGCCGGCGAAGAACCCCACCACGTGGCCGTAGCGCTCCGAGAGAGTTTGCAGCGTGTTGAACAGCTCGGTGCGGGTGCGCGCGCCCAGGAAGGCCAGCGTCCCGAGCACGGGCACCGGCGTGGGACCGGGCGGGCCGCCGGCCGGCCTGCGCGGCCATACCACCAGCAGTAGCACCAGGAACACTAGCGCGGCGAGCGCCAACAGCATGTCTGCGCGGCCGGGCGGACTGCGCCGCACTGCCGGCTGCCGGCGTGCACTGCAGGGTGCAGAGCGCCCCCGCTACCCCGCCTACCGCCCCGTCAAGGTCTCGCGTGCCGGCCGGTGTCGAAACGGCCGCCCGTCACGCCGGGACCGTCTCCCGCGGGGCTTCGGCGCCCGACTGCGCGCGATCAACGGGCTGACGGCGCGCTATCAGAGCTGGAACATCCGTCAGACCCGATACATTTACATAACATCCGCCCAGTGGTGACCAGTGGATAGCGCCGCCTCCCGCGCCCCGAACCAAGCAGCGTGCAGCCCATGCGCCCTTTGTGCTTGGACCGGTTCTGCAGCCCTTAGCGAACTTATATGGATTGTAATGCATGTCTATGGCAAATTAGGAAAATGTGAACAAGGCGTCCTGCTCTCGGTGATTCGTAGCGAATATTTTCGGTCGTTTTTGCCTTTCTCGTATAAACTTCCACATGCCACATTGCACACGACATAAACGTCGCATTGCGCTTTACCAAACCCTCATTTAGGTGTCATGGCCAGAGCAAGAGCCTATAAAGTTCAGTGACCCAGCACATACCGTCTGTTATAGCTGTTCCAGACCGCTGGCTATACCACACGATACCACACAGCCAGCGAATGTGTCATTAGTCATTACAGCATCCAGCGGCACCTAACCAGCAGTGCAGTGGGCCGGCGCGGCGCTAATGTTTATCGGTCCAATTCAGCCCGGCATGCCAGGCCAAGGCCTGATTATGATGCTGCAACGGGGCCGGCATACCAATTTCCTAACGACTGACTCGCCCGTTTCAATTATTAGTCAACAAGTAGCTCGTAGATACAAGAAAAATATAATTGAAATAATAACGGATGAGCTATAACGCCAAACACGAACTTAGCAAGAGAACATCGTAGTTATCACCATGCACAATAATAAAGACTGCAATAAATAATTATCAAGTGTATTCGCTCTTCAGCCTATGCAATACAATACTGTCGATGCAAACATCAACCGCCACGAACATTACACATGTACCGTGCGTCAGCAATGGTTCATCTCTACGGTCTTTACAACGCTTTGTCTGCCAACTCTGCTCTTGACAAACAAAAACACAAATGTACAACCAACACATGACTTGGCACATCAGTACAGCGAACTAAAACACGTGGTACAATGAAACGGACATCTGTGCTGAACACGATTAAAAAAGACTCGTTGCCTAGGTGGAGCCTGCCCGTCGGGCTCTCCGTTAATCGCTCGAATCGGGCGCCGTAGCCAGCACGGCGACTAGTTACCTCCTCTCAGTTTCGGTACGATCCGAGACGAAGGAAGCATATCCGCCGGTTACACTGACACTCAGTCAGCGTGCGAGCACAGCCAGCCGCGACAAACGGAGGATCTGAGCTGGATCCGCTGACCGGAAGAAGGTGTCATGCGAACGCGCTCAGAGCGTGCTGGCAGCCGTGCCAGGACCAGTGAGCTGAGCTGGGTCGCGGGTTAACTCACCTACATACCAGTATCAACACATGATACATGACATCAAGGCATACTGCAACACATGACACAAGCATGACACATGACACAAGCATGACACATGACACATCGACATGACGCATGACAAATCGGCATGACACTGCCACACATGACAATGAAATGGTCAGGTATGAAAGTGATACCCGATCTTCTCTTGAAGTGAGTCTCTTCTTGCTCTTCCTTCTGGAAGGTGGCACACAATCCACTTGTAGACCTCACTCCAGTTGCTTGGACACTACAGTCCAGGCTGCAAGGCGGCGGCAAAGCAGAAGCCACTGACCCTCCCGTTCTGTACTTCTGGCGCTGACGGTGCGAACCTTGTTTGTGGAAACGTGCGATAGATGGCGCTGGACGCTACCTCATGTTGGACGCACCGCTTCACCATGGATGAACCTAATCCATGGCTTCACACAGGTTGTCTTTACCGCAGCGGCGTATCCAGTATTATTACAAGTGGAACGCTTCCGCACGTGACTACGTGGCACGTGTTAGAATCATCACAAAGATCGCTGAGCACGGCGCTGGACTGCACGGAATAACACGTATCCAACCAGGATCGGGTTCCCGTGCTCGACTCACCGCACTTGTTGGGGCTTCGGAGGAGGCCGGACCGATCTCGAGCATCAAATGAAGCATCGGATGAGTCAGTGTAATGACTACAGCCAGGCTACCACCCCAGGGACCAGCCCTGTCAGTCTCTCGTACGCAAGCGGCAGCGGAGCAGGCCACTCAGCCCACCTCGCTCGCTCAGTTTGGTCCCCTGTTTTTCGACCCGCTGAGCTCACCTCTGGCTCAGCGGTAGGAGCTCACCGAGTTGGGCGTGGTGAGTCCGGAGGTCGTCTCCGATCCGGCCACGGACCGCGGAGACATCATGTCTCCGTTCCTCGGTGGGGGCGGCGGCGGCGGCGGTCCGGACCGGCCCGAGTAGGCGCCGTAGGCGGGCAGGCCGCCGGCGCCGGGCGCGGAGCCGTGCGACCGGCCGGCGGCACTGCGCTGGTTGTGCGCGTTCTCGGCAGCCGCCGAATGGTAGCTCGGGTACTGCGGCTTGGAGTAGAGCTCTGGCTGTTTGCCGTAGACGGCGTAGTCGTCGTGCCGTGACACCGCTGGGTAATGGCCGTAGTCGTCGGCCCGGGAGCTGGCCGTGAACTGGGTGGTGGCAGTGCTGTAGGACAGCGCGTCCTCCTTGGTAGAATACAGCGGCTTGTGCGCCTCGGCCTGCTCGGCGGCGGCGGCGCGGCGGTCGGCGTAGGTGGGCTCCTGGCGCGCGCAGCTGCGGGTGGCGTACATGGACTCTGTCTGCGCCAGCCCGCCGCCGCCGCCGATCCGCGGGTACACGCTCTGGGCGGCCGTGATGCCGGCGCGGCCCCCCTCCTGGGCACACCGGCGGTCCTTGGTGTACACCGACTGGGACCTGTCGACCAGGAACCGACCGTCAGACCGGGTGCACGGCGCATATCGCTGTGTGGACGGGACGTGAAGGGTGGAACGTACGTACAATGTGGACAGAACAAAGGAGAGCACGTTGCAATGACGTTACATCACTGGGTACCATTTTCTTAAACCTTCACTCTCAGAATCCGTGTGAGAAGTTCGTTGAAACACAAGAGAAAGGGTCAAGCGAATGGGGATTCAAATGCAATACTCTAGTTACACTGGACTTGTTACAGTACGTGCGATGAAACTTAGCCAACACCTCCCCACACCCTCCACGTGCTTATCTAACATAAGCAGCCCATCCTCCCTGCATCTCCCCTCCGCCCTGTACCTGGCGAGGTGCGCGCGGCTGGGCGGCGGCGAGCACGCGTACAGCGACTTGGTACCGCCGTACACCGACTCGGCCCGGTGTACGCCGCGGTACGCCGGTACAGAGAACACGGAGCGCGCGCCGCCGGCCGGGCTCGGCTTGGAGCCGGCGCCGTAGATGGCGTACGACTGCGAGCGCAGCGTGTTGTAGTCGGCCGAGGAGAGCTTGGGCCGGTCCTCCTCGAACACTTCGTCATCGCTCTGACCGCCCAGAGATTCTGTGGAGGGAAGGGGAGAGAATCAGTGACCTACGAGGGCCTGGCTGTCGTTCTGACATCTAGCGGTCACTTCAAACGGCTCGCCACCAGGTGGCGGCGGAAGACGGGACAGACGGACATTGTCATGGGTCACTGGTCAAAGATACGTTGTAAGAAGTTGGCATGCTTTGGTCCAGGTGTAACGCAGTGCTGACAAATTGAACAAAAACAAAACAAAAAACTGAGGGACTGCACTTTGCGAACAGAACAACTACAACATCAAATCGCCCTGAAAAGAAACTTCCCTTGAAAAGGGAAGAACTACACCGATGTATTTACTTCACGCATAATAATGCAAATAGAGCGGCAATTTACATGAGGCTATTAGCGTAGCAACTGTCCATACCTGTATCCATGGTGTCCTTGAGCCGGTAGCGTCGGTTGGGGTTGAAGATGTACTCGTGCACGTAGGAGGCCACCACAGCGGCGGTAAGGGGCGAGAACCAGTACACCTGAAACACAGGAGGCGACAATAAGTCACACGGAGATCAGAGGCAGCCCTGCTTTTAATTCGTAGCTTTGAGCTAGGTAATGGGAGCAGGAAAGTATTGCAATTGTTACAGGATGAATGCACATTATAAAATATAATTTGCCATTCATTTGTATTTTGTACATTTCAAGTGCCAATTGAAATTCAATTGTGTTAAGTTTACAGCGCCAAGGCTTTCAACAATCGATTTGATCCATCTCACTTCGTAGCATTTAAGCAGCGTTGTATGATACTGTTGCGTGCCTTTCAAACCGAGCCGTGGGAAAATCGAACAGCTCTCGTCGCTCGTGCAGTGCCATCTGCTCGATTCGGGGAACGTCATTCTGGTTATGACATCTGCTGAGCCATATCAAAAGCCATCCGGCGGTCTGTGTGGTAACATTATCTGTGCGACGGGCCCCTCCCGCTGCGGAGGCCACAGTTTCAGTCCGGACCCGGCGACAGATGGTGAGGACTCGCCACACTGAGCACCACTGAGCGCGTGAAAACACTGAGCGACCGAGCGGCGGCCGGCGGCCGGCAGCTGGGCGAGGGAGAGGGGCGGCGGAGGACAGCCATCTGCGCCCTCCCTCTGTCTCCGAACCGTCCCCGCGCGGCGTGCTCCGTTCACAGAACACCCCACGGACCCGTCTGTCAGCCGCGACCACCGGGACAAAGACTGGTCGAACCGCGCCCCAAACAGCCGGCTCCACCGCCCCGGGCGACGGACGACATCCCGCAGTAAACCGCGGCCGCTCGCCACTTCACACACCCCTCCCCTCTGGCCGGCAGGCTGTCAATCGGCGCTCACACGTGACCAGCGGGGCAGGGGTGAGCTAGAGCCTTTCTCAGCCATGGGAGCGGGCTCAATGCGTTTTAATGATGATTGCCTGCATCTGGCGACCTGCCGCGCGGCGTGTGCGGCGCGCAGGGGACAAGTGTGACGCGTTCGCTGAGCCGGGGGCGGCGGCGGCGGGACGCTAACTCAGGGACAAAGGCGGTGCCGGTCGCGGCCCGGCGTCTCACGGCTATTACGGTAATAAAGGCCGGTGGCCGGGCCGGGCTGGGCCAGTAGCCGGCGATTAGAGCGGAGGCTAATGCGGGCCACCAGGGCGGGCAGGCGGGTCGAACGAGGATCGCGGTGGGTCTACTCTAAGCGTCCCGGAGGTGATCGGTCCAGTCCTCAGTGGTGTCAATCTTCCCTCAGTGTAGCGGCAACGACGCCAGTCGGCACCAAGGTGGTCCCGTAGAGGTTATCAGTATCGCATGTTCACTTCCAGACCAAAGAAAATGGCAGTAGGCCGTTTTGAATATTTTAGGTATATCCGGATACCCACTGCCAGACCAAAGCTGACGGCCCGAAGCTATTAGGAGACTTGTGAGTATGTCGCCTGGGGCATTTTACATGGTAGCATATATAGCTACATGTAATGAGCTCTATAACATAATTAGAAACATGCATATGTATGAGGAACGTATACGTCATTGACCCTTACCCAGTGGTCCTTCCAGATGTTCATGACGAAGGCCGGTCCCAGGGAGCGGGCCGGGTTCACGGAGGCTCCTGTGCAGCGGATCTGCAACAAACAGACAGAGATACACGGTCAGCACTGCAATGGGCACGTGGTGATTATTGGTGCCAATCGGAATTTCTTTTCTTGGAATTCCAATTTTTGTCCAATTCCAATTTGGAATTTGGACGGAATTCTTAACATTTTTTGGAAATTAATCGGAACACAAGGCCTTTAAAATTTAAAATTTTAAAACGGAGGCCTTTAAAACGCTTTTAAACACTTTTAAAATTTACGCAAAAAATGCAAAAATCGTTAAAAATTGGAATAGCGCCCGCTTTGGACAAAATTGGAAATTTACTTGGCAATTTCTTGGAATTGGATCGGAATTGGAATTGAAATTTCATGAAATTGGCACCACTAGTGGTGATACATCGGCGTGGGGGACGGGAGTACCAAATGGCAGCACATTATGTACAGTCATTGTTCCATAAGCCATGGTAACAACATAATGTGTCCAGCAACTCTATTGAAAGAAATAGGTGCCGTTTTGACTTTTGAGTAACTTCGTGTTACTAATTAATGCCTGTCTTGGCAATTCGGGTAGCTTAGCAATACCTAAAGCAACAAGAACACTACCTCAGCATGAACATTGCAGATATCTCGCCTCAACTTTGTACTCCGTAATCGCTTGAGCACGCTCATAAGCTGCGACACTTCTACCAGCGCCGGCAGTCGTTCCTACCATCCAATCCGAATGTAGCAACCAGTTGCCCCACACGACGGCACCGGGCACAGTGCCGCCTGGGACCAACGCTGTGTCTCCCGCAATTAGACACGATAAATCTCGAGGCCGGCGTTTACATACAGCGAAATGGCAGCGGCTGCCATCCGGTCGGCATTGTGATGCCGCTGCCGTTCTGCAGCTTTCACCTGCAATTAGCACGCGCTGCACGGCTGTCGCCCGCCGCCGGGCTGTGCTCCAGTAGCGGTTCATCCGCCCCGGGTCGGTCGGGATCACAGGCTGGCTGGCCGCAGATGATGGGTGGGGTCGAGTCGGTAAATACTGGGTACCCGGATTGGAGGAGGTTTAGCGCGTGCAGAAAAACGTAACCTCACAATGTCCATCTTTGGTGTGATGGATATGCTCTACAGAGTTTATATTGCCATGCCAGAAAATTGCGTAAATACTGGGTACCCGGATTGGAGGAGGTTTAGCGCGTGCAGAGAAACGTAACCTCACAATGTCCATCTTTGGTGTGATGGATATGCTCTACAGAGTTTATATTGCCATGCCAGAAAATTGCGCTCTAGAAACCAGATGAATCAGAAGCTTTTGGGTCTTCTAAATGCTTCACCTAAAAAACCTCTTGACAAAAGCCTTCAAGTGTATTTGTAGGTTTGAATATGAAATACACAGTTCCAAGTAATTACCTGAACGAGCAGAGCAATTGAAATGCGAAACGATCGTAATTTATGTAAATGTCCAACACCAGGCGTGCGCATTGCGTCGTAGCCCGTCAGTAACGCGGCCCAACGGTTCAGTTCATGGCCCATTTCGGGCTGGCGGGTCTCGGCCCACAGCTGACTCCCCTGGCCTGATGTCCCATTCGGTGCACCCCGCGGCTATAGGGGACCAAGGTCGGACACGACGAGAGGCTAGTTCATCAGCCACGGGGCGAGACGGGCGACAAACCGCTGTGTCACGACACACGGCCGACCGGGACCCCTGACACGACCTGACCCGACCCTTGACACCCGATCTGGCCGGCCCCTGACAGTTGACAGCCGGCACGATATGACCTCTGTCTCTATACGTAGGCTGTGTCGTGACATCGCCAGCGCGGGGATGTTCCCGTCTATGTGGTCCCTCGGCCGGCCGTCTGCTACCCTCACTCCGCGGAGCGGGGCCTGGCCTTGAACAACTCCCCATCCACCTCTACCAGGTAACCACTTCCTCTGTGCATGCGGGCGTCGGAGGGTCGCACGCCACCCTTCCTCCCCTGCCTGGTTCTCGGTAACGGCCGGGACGGACAGGACACACGCCGTGCCACCGGCCCTATGTAAATCAGCACAGTTCTGCCAGTAGTCCAGCCCCCGGTCCTGTTTTGTTCTTCTAGCCGCGACAGTGTTGGTGGCCGGGTGGCCCATATCCATCATCAGAGTCCCACCCCTCACCCCCTGGGTCGGTCCGAGCAGCCAGTGTCCTGGAGGCGCCCCTCCCCTGCCCGGTTCCCCGTGGACCAGGTGGTGGCGCGTCCGGCGGTCCCTGACGGTCCAGCCGGACGCCACCTGGTGCACCTTACAGACCTCTGGCACCACACTGAGTTCGAGTCGGAGTGTGGACAGCGTCCCCCACACCTGAGTCATTCTCATTACTCATATCTCATCCTGTAGAGGAATAGGGAGTAGAGGTGTAGCTAGCAGGACGGCTAACTGCAGCGTTAATACCGTCTTTCTTTAACGCTCGTCTCTGTAGTAGCCATGGTTGAGTGCTGAGGCCGCCAGTTCTAGCGTTAAAGGCTAGTGCTGAGAGTGTTAAACATCATTTGCTATTGTCAAGCCCTGATATGTGTTGAGGGCCCAACACCGCAGCGTTTAGCGCTGAACTCACCCCGGCGAGGCTGACGGCCAGGTAGGTGAAGCCGATGACGACCGCGCTGTTGCCCAGCGGCCGGCGCGACGGCTCCGAGACCGAGAACACGACGAACACCAGGATGAAGGTGAGGACGAACTCGACGCCGAAGCCCTGCCAGGCGGTGAGCGGCGGCGTCACCACCGTCACGCCCAGCGAGCCCTGCAGGCTGGTCGTCGACGACCTGCGGACGGGGAGAAAACACTGTCAGACACAGGAGGGACGGGCGGCGACAGGACTGCACGCTTCGGTCGTCAGTAAACATGGCGTCCCGCGCATGGCGCGTGCACCCCTCAGTGAAGATCTGCTTGTTTCCCTCACAAGAAGCGTGCGAAGCCCATTTGGGCGTCAGCGGCAAATTCCGCCGTCACAACTCCGGCACAGGCTGCATTCCGCCGCGACTGCAGCCCCCAGCCCGCGTCCAGCGTCAACAAACGTAGGGAATACGAGACGGGTCGGGTGCTGGCGGCGGCGGGGGTGGCGCCCTGAGGCACATCTGGCCGACAGTCCCGGCGACTGGAGACTCCCCTTCCCCTTACACCCTCTGCTGTCGCCCCTGGCGGGTCGCATGTGCCGGGCAGATCTGCGACACAGGCCCAGCGGGGACGCGGGGAGGGGACGGTGCGAGGAAGGAGCCGCCGGGGCCGAGCGAGGCGCTGAAACACCGGGAGCCGGCGCGCGGGGGTCCGGCCCTGTTTGCGACGCCCGCCCGCCGGAAGATCCCGGCGCCAGTTGGAGCTGGTATGTGCTGACGGGCTGTCGGCACGCGCTGTCCCCACCCCAAACAGTCCTCATCTCCCCGCCCGAGTATTGGAATCCATCGAGGACATACCGGATGTCACGACACAATTTCGTAAAATCCGCTCACGTCGCACAAACAGGTTTAGCCAGTGCGGCGCTGAAAAGACCCGGTATGTCCTGATCTCGGCTCGCACACAGCTGGTGAAAGCTCGCTTCATGCCGGTCATGTGCCGAGATGTGCCGGCGGGGACATCAGTGGGCAGCTGAGACGCCGCCGGCCGGGCAGACCCGTTCACCCGTCTGAATGTGGGCCGTCTCAAGGCTGCAGGGGCGAGTCACGGCTCGTCACTGGTCGTCACAGCCACCACCTGCCGTCGGCGGCTCCGCGTGGCTCCGCGGTGTGAGCCGGCGTCTTGTCGTGATCTCGGGACCTCTCCCCTCCCCCTCCCCTGTGCGGAGTTCCCTCCCCTCCTTATCGCCGCCGCGCCGGTCGGCCGAGGGAGGGGGAGGGGAGGGGACGGACGGCCCACGAGCGCCGCAGAGCACCTGGCGTCCAGGAATGTCGCCCCGCACCGTGTCTGTGTGTCTGTGTGTCGGACCATTCAGGTCACCTGAGCCGGGCGATAGGAGAGCCGGCGCGACGCATTCAGTCCGACGGTCGACACAATGCGCCGGCCAGTTAAATCGCCGCGCCGCGCCGCCGCTCGTCGACTGTGCGTCGCAAACGGCGCGGCTGCGACTAAGGCGCCCCACAACGGTCTCTGTGGCGCTCGGAGCTCGCCGATTCAGAGAGCAGCCGGTCGAAATAAGCCGGCTCGGCCCCACGTCAGCCCTTTTTCATGGCTGATTGGTTACGGTCGCAGATACGAAAGAAATATGACCAAAAGAGGCGAAAGGGAGCCGAGGACGGGAAGCAGGTAGAGGCAGAGGCGAGAGAGACAGGGAGAGAGGGAGAGAGATGGTCTCATTATAACTCTCTGTCGCCAGTGGGCCAGTGGCCGTGATAACGGCCATAACAAAAACTTCGGCTACAATGACAGGGGACGAACCCGTTTGACGGGCACTGATGAAGGAATTCGCTGATCGGCCCGGGCGGAAAGTGCGTTAGCCAATGTAACCTTGACGCTACAACATACCAGCCGATGCTTTTTTTAAGTTTCTCCAAGTCTTGGGCGTTCGTTCAAGCTAAAGTAGGTAACGAAATATTGGCCGCACGGGTCGTAGTGTGTTTGAGGTGGTTTTACCGGCGTTATTTGCCCAAACACCGCCAATGTTGCCTATCTAATCTCATTTACAGTCAGAAAACACTTTTTTGCCTTAGATAAAAACCAGAAACGAACACCTGAAGTGCCACCGATCACTAAACAGCTGCCCACACCGATCGGTCACTATCACAGCTACCTGTCAAGCCTGTTAAGACAGTGAAAAACAGTCGCTGGACAACGTCGGCCATTGGTCTTGGGTCGCTGATGATAAGTCAGTGGTCACTGGTCAGCATTCACAGGTCAGTGGCCAATGGTCAGCACTCAGCGCCCGGCGGTCACTGTTGTCAGTTTCCTGGACATACAGAGGTCGGGTGACGGCTCAGTGCCCTGGCAGAGGGAGGGTGAGGGTGAGGTCACCGGAAGCTCGCAGTGGTCGTCCATTGTCTGAAGAGCCCTGGGGACCGTGCTCAGCCCGGTGTCACATGACGACTTCACTGCAGCCGGGGGGTGACCTTTGAGGCACCGCGTCAGCACAATCCACCGGTGTGGCATTACATGTCAACGGCTACCGACAGTCGGGGATGTCCGTCACTTCCCGGAAGGAGCGGGATGCGACATTATAAAGTGGTGTCAAGATACCGGCTCATCTATCGCTGGTGGCTGTCAATTTCTGGAGGATCGGGTCAGTATCCGATTACAGTAGAGTGCTCACTGCTCACTGCTGAGACAAACAGCCCTCCAAATGCGTTCAATTTTACATGGTATATGACCTACTCTGAAGATGGACGCCAGTATACGGCATTGGACTTTGACCTCAAACACCGAGCACGGTGGATTCGGCTGCCTGTCGACCTCGCTGGGAGGACCGTATCAGCCGATCAGGCCCACGTAATGTGAAGATTTTGTCAGCACTTTACAGAAGCTCTGTCCCAAACCGCGCCGAGTGCCGGACCGCCGCTCTGAACCAAGGCCGGTCCCGTGGGCTGGGTTCTAATTAATTGGCGGCGCCGAGATATCAGAGGCTGGTGATACCGGTTTGACCTGGGCGGTGTCACAATAAATTTACTGCTCCACGACCAAAAAACTAGTGCTGACAAATGTCCTTGTCCATGGATCTATGACCCCGCCCAGTAGCGAGAGAAATGAAGAACACAAATTAAACAAAACGAAGAATGCATCGAAACTTACGACGAGAAAGCAAAAGAACAACGCAACAAAGAAACGTTAAAATGAAACATGGGTAGGTATACAGACGTAATAGCGCAATTGTGAAGCCATTAGCCAGTGGGCCAGTGTTACGGTTAGATCAGTCACGCGGGACCTGTGAGGCGGTCCCAGGTCGCCCTATGCCACGACTTGCGTTGCCCGTTTGTCGCGCCAGCCTGTCGCCATGGGCCGCACAGCTGCCCGCTCGAGTCAACAATCAACACGCGTCTAACACAAACACCCAGTGAGGCATATGGGGGAGATAGCGAGACGACCGCTCACCAGCCCGGCGCATGAGCCCGTGGAAATGATGCGAAAACATCTAGACAAATACATAACACCAATCATAGACCCCGGCATACATAAGTCTAGGCACCAACATAACCGACCAATAGAGCCTGGTGCATTACCAATCTCATCGCCTTCACTTCGCCCTGAAATAACAGCGACGGACGGAAATAACAGACCACCACCGTCGTATGTCCTCGAGCCCAGACTCGACTGCCTGTGCGACGCTCCAGGGTCGAGCCGGAGCCGGGGCTCAGATCCAGGGCCGAGCGGTGTCGGGTGTCGTCGGCCGCGGGCCGGCCGGTCGACGGCGTCCCCCGCCCGACCGGCCGGCGTCCCTGTGTCACCCCACGGGACCGGAAGCGGGCCATCTTCACCCGCCGGCGGCAGCTGACACCGCGAGCGGCGAGAACCGACGCCGCCAATTCACCGCCGCGAGGACCCAAATGGCCACCGAACGGTGGTGAATGGAGCCAACTGAAGGCGAGGTCGGCGCCCTCTGGACAGCGCGATTATTTACGCATCCCAGCTCTCCTTGATATGTAATAAAAGAAACTTTCAAAAAGCAGAGCCTAAAAGGCATATAATCGCTACAAAAGTTGACAGTCCTCGACATTAGAAGAGCCACGAATCCAGTACCTACCTAACGAGCGTGCCTACTCGACAAAAAATCGGTTCCCAACGCCTGCCTGCCAACGAATCAGAGTCGCGCTCAAACATTGACATCTGCAATTCCTGTCCGGGTGAGGTCTGCAGTCATGTTGCTGAATGCTGACTGCAGGAACATGAAGATTACAACGTCCAGGAACAGAGCAGATCAAGAGCACGTTGACACGAACGACCAGCGTGAACCGAAAAAAACGACAGCCTGACGTCACGACATCGTGGATTTCACGAAGCAAGAAATGATAAGGTCACAACGAGACAGCAATGCAATGTCACGCTTACTTACTCTGTACTCATTATAACACTGGTTCTGTGACTATGGGACTGGACTGCCCCAGAACTGCCATTCGTGCTGGCTCTGGCCTCGTGAGACTCGGCAGCGATCCCGGTGTGTTTTGTCACGGGGAGCCGGGTCGGCGGCAGGTCACTGTAGGCCGGCAGCCCGAAAAAGCGCTAGAAATTCCCCCAAACTGACTCTCCGCAATATGAACAAAATAGGTATCATTTAATCCCAAATTGATCGAAGAATACGATTCCGATGCCAGTTTTTCCCTAAGGTCAAAATTGAGGTCGTCAGTTGTCACCAAACACAAGACAATTTAGACTCTCTAGTGGCCACCACATTTACCGATTTTCATGATGATCTTCAGTGGTAATTTATTAGCTGACCAATCGTCGTTTTGAACGAAATTTCCTCACAGACTAGTTTAGGGCACTGTTGTTCACTGTGCCAACATCATTCTTACATATTGCATCGCTTTTCTGCAAGATAAGCTAGCTTTTTGCAAGCAGCTGCAAGACGTAATTAAAAATCATATCTAATTTTTTAATTAGACTTTTATAAAAATGTGATTTCGAGCAGCTAAAAAGGAAAATTTTATACTAGCCTCTGATTACTCATATTTCGTTCCATATAGGTGCTTTGCTGCTTTTCCCTGCTACTTTTCGAGATATGCGCAAGTAAACCACATGATGTAGGGGCAATTGTCACCTCGCCGCTCTACTGAAGGCCCAGCGCTGGAAGTTTTGAAAAACAAACGCGTATAATCAGAATAGAATATATGTCCCTGAGCTCAGA